TCGTGTCATCTTAGCTGTGAATGATGTTCCCGGCGCAAAGTCGTACTCGTCTGACATCAGAAAATGCACAGATCAGCTGAAATGTTGGCTAGAGTGTCAAGTCTTATACAAACTGGAAAGGTGGAGGAATTGTAGAAAAAGTAGACGTTTGTACCAGTGACTTCTCGTTTGCGTGTGCACGTAGATTTTTGTACATGTATCACATGATCCACTGCTTTTGCATAATTTAAAGAAGCAGACGGTGCTATATCCTGCAGCTGCTTGTGAACCTAACACAGAGACTGCAGTAGAATGGATGCTACGGAAGTAAATGACAAGGTTTAGGGACGACCATTGCAGGGATGGGATCGGGGTGGCCCTGTGCTGTTCTTTTACCCAACATGTCCCATTGTTCGAATCCAGCATTCACACTTCTCCGGCTGCGTCTTCAGCTTGGGAAAAGTGATGAAAAATATCTTCTTATGTGAGGACGATGGCTGTATCGTGAGTCACTGTTTCAGGTACCGCAGGCACGATGTGCTGTGGTCCTCCCAGTGGACATTGATGCCATTTTCCCACATGGCTAACACATGCACTGTGCTAGATACCTCTACAAGGTGTTTGTACAAGTACAGTTGTTGCACAATCGTTTACGTAACTAATGTTTTATAAATGACATGAATAAACTGTTCCCCTGAACTGGGGTTATTCAATTAGCTGTCTGCAACAGGTAAGATATTATTTGTTCATTACAATATCCCTTTAATAACTTCCAGCTTTTTATGTGCGGTGCCTGAAACAAGTATAAAAACTCAGTCTTTCTCATACCATCCTTCACACTTATCCCCTTTTGTCCAGGTGCCAGGTAACAACAATAAGTCAACGTGCCTGCAGGCATTGCTTGCGTGCATGTGCGTGTTTTTGATATTCATTGTGAAGTGTGTGACAGGTGTGTTAGATCTCCTTAAGTGCTTCAGTAGAACAGCTTTTGTTTTCTTAATCGTCTCAGCAGACGTCATTGTCTTGACTCGGTGAAGTCAGGTACGTGCACGCCTCATCACTCGTGTATTATTTTGTGGTACAGACTCATTATTTATTCCCAAAGTCTGGCGTGTGTGGCATGCATCATTAGCAGGGTTGCTCACTTTCCTAAACTTGTTTTTCAGCTGAACAGTCCAAACAGATCCTTTTGTTACCTCCGAGGAAAGAACAACCCTGATTTGTGTTGTACGCGTCACGGATCTGTCGTTACTTCAACATGGCTTGTTTTTTAATGTTGTCAACACGTACTACGCCGCGCTCTTACCCTTCTGCTTGATCCATTAATGGAAGTGCACGGCCATAGTTGTAGAGTTGACACTTCTGAGGAATCCTTTCATCTCACACCACAAAATCTGTGCTGTTGAGATTAAATTAAACTGCCTCCACCCTCGTTTGTCCAGCTCTGGGCCCTTGAGCAAGGCCCTTAACCCGCACCATCTGCTCCTCCAGGCACCCTAGATAGCGGCTCTCTGCTCCACACAGAGGGCTGTGGTAGCTCGGTGGTCTGTGGTTGTGTCAAGAAGGGCATCCAACATAAAAACAAATGCCAAGTCTTCGTGCGAGTTACTTCACTGCGGTGACCCCTGAGGAAGGGAGCAGCAGAAAGAAGAAAAATAAATTGCTCATATTGAACTTTGCAGACAGTGTGATGAATCTGTAGGTCTATAAGTTGTTGCCAAGCCACCATACAACAGAGGTTCAAGTCACTGCTGAACATCAACCGTGTTATCTTCTCCAGGCTGTGACTGTTTTCATTCAGGTTTAGAAAAGAATCCATAAAAACACATTTCTGAAGTTCAGCCAAAGACAATATTTTCCATCAGTTTCTGACAGGTCAGCTGGGGAGTTTGTAAAAGGACAATTGTTGTATTGAGAAACTTTATCTTCTGTTTCAAACACATCATCCGATTGCTATAACAAACATAGATTATCTTGAGAGCTGCTCCTTTTCTTAGAGAACATAAAGTCCTATTCTTTGTTTCACTGGAAGCCGCCTAACAGAGTCACACCAAGTCCAACATCGAATTATCTGCCATTTGATTCGTTTTTTAACTGACTCAGCCCCATAGCTTTGTTTTTGAGTCTGTACAAAGGTTTATATATGAACAATAAGTATCTTACTTGCTGTAGATAGCTCCTTGAATGATCTCAGTTTGTTTACATCTGACCAGATTGATGCTAGCTAACCACTAGTCCAAGTGGGGTCAACAGCCATCCGTCCATTTCCTTCACTCGCCTGCACCTGCTCAGGTAAATGGGGAGCTGGTGCCAAACTCCAGTGGTTATTGGCCGAAAAGCAGGGGTACATCCTGGACAGGTGGGCCATCCATCGCAGTGTCAAAAAGTCAGTTTCACAATACTAAGTTGTAACAACAAAAATATTATGCCGTTACTGCCGCTTTGTGTGCTGGCATAAAACCAAAGAATTTTGTGTAAATAAGCTGATGGATGTATAAAAGTGTATAAAATAACGTTCCCATGAAACGTTGTGAGGTGCTTGATCTTGGCCAAGCTTAAACAAAACATTAATTCATCAATCTGGTCGGAAATAAACTCATTTTCCCCAAACTGAGATTGTTCAAAGAGATATCCAAAACAGGTAAGATATTGATTGTTTATAAATTTACACAAAAATTCATTCAATAAAGTCTGAACTGTTGCTTTTATGTTTTAAATTCTGACGGCAGGTCTAATAAATCAATAAATCATACCATATTCGTAAAAAGGGTCACAAGTAGCTCTTATGTTTTACAGAATGGTGTCTTTTTATATTTGAACACTGTGATTTATTGCAGGATTACTTGTGTTGTTTTTTTCTGTTCCATCACTGACTAATAGCCTTTCTATAAATGAGGTTTTGAGGCTGTTGATGAAGTTGTAGTTTTTTTTTTCTTTATTACACTCCCTTTAAAACAAGCTGTAATCTCAGCAGGAAATGTGAAAATGGTGCATTGTTTTCTCCAGCGGTGCTAAATCCAGTGCACTAACTGCATCCTTGTCTTTGTTTTTAGCTTTCTTATTAGATTATGCTCTCTTTTGTAAAAGCTTAGCAGCTCCTCTTGTCCGGATAAAACGGTGGAACAGTGAGTCGTGTCTAAACGCCACACTGCCGAGACAATTCAAGTCTCTGTACATGTTCTTTTTTAGTATTCTGCAACTAAAGTCTGACGCATGCAAGACTACAGAAGGACGGGGAAGATTAATTTCTGTACATATAATCTGTATAAAATCCAAGTTTTTTTAAAAAGACAAATAAGGTTGATGTAAAATAAAGTCAAACTGTTTGCAGCTTGGTGTTTTGTGATTATTGTACTCTCTGCAGGCTTGGGACAATAATCAACATGTCAAGTCATGCGCCAGAGATTTTTATATGATTGGAAATGTGATGGAAAGAATGCTACACGGAAAAATAAGTTAAAAATAAAAAAGTGAATTAGAGTTATCTTTCAGCTTCCACTTTTGAATCTGTCACGTAAAAAAGTCATCTGTCACCTGCGATGCCTTTTTTTCCTTCAGGCCCACGTTTTCTCCAGTTTGTGTGTGTTTCCTGTGTGAAGTGAAACGAGTCGTCCATCCCTCTGTGCCTGAGCTTGCCTCAGTCATTCCCTCGTCAAATGCTGATCACAGCGTTCGTTGTTTGGCAGTAATTTTGCTGAAATAAGTGCTTTTTCCAGAGAGCATGCAAAGATTGAGTTCCCACCAGCAGAAAGCTGCAACGCATCGACCTTAACGAGCTTTTCTTTGATCTGCATAGATGCGGTTCTGTTTTTATATTAAAAAAAAGTTCTGTTTTGACTTTAACTCAGATGATTCTAATTCATATCTATTGTGTAAGGGTGGGGTGCCTCTCTGGGTTGTGAGGGAGTGTTTGCCTCAGGTGGAGGAGTTTCAGTGTCTGGATGGTAGGATGGAGCGGAAAATGGATCGATGGATTGGGGCCTTGTCCTCAGTAATGAGGGTGCTGCTTTGGTCAGTCGGGGTGAAGAAAGAGTTCAGTTGAAAGTCAAAGTTTTGGATTTACTGGTTTTTCAACAATGCAACCCTCACCTGCGGACATGAGGTTTGGATCATGACCAAAAGAATAAAATCCTGGATCCAAGCAGCCAAAATGGTCTTCCTTTGTAGGGTAGTCAGGCTCAGCCTTAGAGGTAGGGTGAGGAGCTCTGTCAGCCAGTGGGAGCTTGGAGTAGAGCTGCTGCTCCTTCACAATAAAAGTAGTCGAGATGGTTCATCTGATTAGGATGCCTCCTGGACGCCTCTCTTTAGATGTTTTCTGGGCATGTCCAACTGGAATGAGGCCCCGGGGCAGACCTGGAACTCTCTGGAGGGATTATGTTTCCTCCCTGATCTGGGAACACCTTGATATCCGAGCTGGGGAGAGGAAGGTCTGGGTTTATCTCCTGGACTTGTGCGAGTGAATGGCTGTTTGTCTTTCTGTGTCCCTGTGATGGACTGGAGACCTGTCCAGGTTGTACCGCGCCCGTCGCACAGTGATGTTTGGACATGGGCACCAGTGACCCCCGCGACCCATAAAGGAAGAAGCAGGTTAAAGATAATGGATGGATGGATGGAGTCTAATTTAATCCCATCGAAGGTCCCAGGTTGCAACAGGACTTCAGGTATAAAACAATTTTCCGAATATTTCATGTGAGTTTACTGTGTTTGCTGTGGTAACCTGCAAAAAATAAACAAAGAAAGAAATTGTTTTACAACAAACCAGATTCTCCACTTCCTTTATTAAAAACTGAGGCCATGCCCATGTTTATAAAGCAGTGAGTTCTCCTCCTCTTTGACCCTCCCTCCTTTAAAATCCACCTCAGGATCACCGCTTCAGTCTGCTGCTGACAATCTGGATCCTGTCTGAAGGAGCCAGGAGCTCATCAGTGAGCTCCCTCAGCTCGTTGCTTCAGGTTTTCTTTCCCTCCATCTTGGAATTTTCACGTCTTCCTCCAGCTGTTTGGTGGGTTGCCTCTGATCTCATGGCTGTCACATCCAGTGCATGTTTCCTGATGCTGCTCTTCATGACCTGCACTGGGATTACAGGTTAATCCAGACACTCGTTTGATTTATATTTTCCTTTGTGTGTCCTGAACCCCCAGATTATCACAGCTGGGGTGAAGTAGAAGAAACAGAAATGTTTTGTTGTCTTGTTAAAAAGTTTCCACTTTGCTTGAGCTTAAAGATTTTAAAGAATAAATCTTCAAAGTAGATTTTTATCTTTAAAACATATGTTTGGAACATTTTAATTGCAGACCTTGTGACATGAACAATAGGAACTTAAATACTTCGCATCAAGCCCAAGTTTTAGTTCATGTGATGTATAGTTTGTTTTTGGGATGACTCTCAGCTACTACCATGTCGAATATCAGCTCATTATTCGTGAAACTGATGGAATTAGAGACAATTTGTGTTTGGTAATGTTGAATAGCTGTGAGGGGTCATTTTGAAATACATAAACTTCAAAATTTAATCAGTTTTAGATGTACATCCAGTTATTACTTATTGAAAGTTTCATTAAAATCCATCCAGTTGTTCAGGAGATATTTTGCTAACAGACATTTTCTGCACAGCTCCTGTGCAATGAATAGTAATTGAAGTACTTGTTGTTTATGACTCTCAGCTACTACCACACTTCTTTTGAGCTATTTTTGTGTTTGCCATGTTTATTCGCTGTGGAAACCATCTTGAATTGGGTTAGGTCTGATAGTTAATCAGCTATAGATGTACATCCAGTGCGCTAAAATATATTTTGCTAACAGACAGACAGTCACAGGAGACTCCAAATATTTAATGACAAAGACTTAGCCCAGTTGGTCAGAATCTGTTATGGATCAATCTCTTCTATACCACATCGACTCTCAGGTCAACGTCTGTAAAACTCACTAAGATATGGACATTTTTTGTAAAAAAAAAAATTTTAAAGGTTATTTCTCAGTGTCACTTATTTAAATTAAATGAACTCCAACAATTAGTCAGTTGTAAATTAATTAATAATAATTACTGTCTAAGAAATAATAATAATAATAATAATTCCTTCAGTGGTTCATGAAAAATGCTGGTAACAAACAGAAACCTTCTGGTTTGGGGCTTTTTGTCGACACACACTGTTCACTTGCAGTGGACCCCCCTGAGGACCTCTCCGTGTCGGACCCCGGCCGTCTTGGATACCTGGACATCACCTGGAGCCCCCGAAGCAGCCTGATGAACGTAACCAAGTGCCAAACTGAGTATCAGCTGGAGTACTTCAACTCATTCAGGAACTCCTGGACTGTGAGTGTTTGTTGTTTCAGTCAGTTCCGATCCAGAATTAATTTTTTTGAAAAGGAGCTTTAAACACAATAACCATCAACTTAGACTGGGCTTAAAGCTGTATCTGGAAATATATCCATAAAGTCATAAAAACTGAGAATTCAGATTTGGCAAACGAGTATAGCAATCCAACAAGCTCTTTGTATTTTAGCAAGAATTTCCTTCGAGTGCTACGTCTCAGAAATCTGCCGATGTGTCACAAATGACCACGATCTGTGAAGCAGCCAAAGTGTGGGAGCTGCAGAAACTGTGCTTGTTTAGCCGTTTATGCTATTTCATTTGTGTTTTAATTCGATCAGATAAAGTGGGAATTTAAAAAAAGTAAAGAGAGCAAAGGTTAAAGCAGGAACTTTGTTAATAATGTTATTAAAATTGACAACAAATTTTACACAAAATAGAAAAAACACCACAGCACAAAGTGGAGTAAATAAAACTCTGATTTGTGCAAATGTGCATTGGACAAAGTGTGAAACATGAATGTATATTTCTAAAAATTCTTTTTCCACTTTAACGTACTAAAAGATAAAAAAAAAAAGAATAGTAAATGAACAAACTAATACCTGTGCTTTGAAATACATGTTGAATCTTTTTGGGACAGAACTCTGATCATTTGCAGGAATAAAAAATCTGTTCCAGCTCTCAAGTAGGAACAGATTTGGGTTCAGGTCACCGTCTGACCCTCCTGCTGCCCTTGGGTCAAAATGAGTCCTGAGGTCTGAGTTTTATAATTGAAGCTGACTCCCAGAACGTTGTTTCAGAGGACTACTGTAGCATGATGCATGCAATAAAGTCAACAAAGAAGTTTTATTAACTCCCACCAACGATGACAGACATAATGAAAATGACATAATTACAGCGGAACGAAACAAGGCTTTTTAACAAGTCTCTGCAGCCCAACCTCTTTTCATAAAGTAGAACGTAAAACAGCTGACACAGTGTTTGACTAAATACAAGTTACAGCTCATATCTTCAGAAGTGGGCCTCTTTGGAAAAACCATGAACAATTATCAGGAGCTGAATCAACGTGCGATCGTTGTGTGATGGCTGTTTCCTGCGTTGGCATGTGCCACACAAACAGATAGGATAGACACGAGCCGGCATGATGCTGTCTAACATGGCAGCATGCCTTTGTTTAATGGCAATGTGCATTAGTGACATTTCAAACGCATGCTGCAGCCAAACATCATCGTTGAAAGCTTTGTTAGGGTCTTTGTGGCACTTAAGAAGCTAACCGCTAATTGGAATGAGGCCAAGGCCACCGTGGACTTCTGCCGTCTTTAAACAATTCATTTATTTCATGCAAATGCTGTTTCAGAAACTTCTACACCACAATCAGTTTTACAGAACTTAAAAGGCTATGCACATAGATTTCTGTTGTTAGCACATGCAAAACCATGCTAACAGCATGCTAGCTGTAACACTTCTGCTGCAGCCTGGGGGCACGTTGTGCAGTAATGTCTTAATATTTTTTCTATAACTATATTGTCAAATTGGCAACTATAGTTATATAAAGTTGATAAAATAGCGTTCACATGAATCAGTCTCATCTTTTTTAAATTTGACTTGTTTATTAGTTGGTAGGATTCCACTTGGGTCTTGGCCCAACTCAGACTAGATGTTAACTTGTCACTTTGTCAAACGGGGGTTGTTCAAATCTACAACAGGTCATAAACTAATGCTCAGATCCTCATTGGAAATAAAATTGGAATATTGTTGATGTTTTTGGTTAGTTCCCCCTCACTTTCTATTTAAGACAATACCGCCTGATAAATTAAGCATTCCTGTGTATGGATGGGTGTAAAAGTAAAGTGATTCAATGTATCTGTATGTGTGGTTTGGCAGGTCCTCAGGACAACTAAGATGTCCTACAGTGCTCAGTTTGATCTGTCCAAAGACATCTTGGTGAGAGCTTATACCATGATAGATGGTCCCTGCACCAACAACACAATCCACATGAGCAAAAACTACACTGAACTCATTCAGAAGCCTCCCAGCACTGGTCAGTCCAAATACATTTGTGATAAAAAAAAAAAAAAAAAGAAGTGAGAAGCAGAAAATGTAAAAATGTACTCATTGGTTTTTTTACATTCATCTAGGAGTTGCAGATACGGAAGCCAGAGATTTTGCGTGTGTATTTTATAACATGGAGAGGGTCCAGTGCAAGTGGACAAGAAGCCTGAGAACGCCAGCCGACTCGCAACAAAGTCTGTTTTTCTGGTCCGTCAGGAATGTAAAGATGGCAGATTCAGATGTTTGTCAGTCTGTTGTTTTTTTTTTTTTGGTCCCAGACAAAACTACGTAATTATATTAAATTGAAAACAAACCCTGGAGGGTTTTGGGACATGTCCCTCTGACAGGAGACCCTGGGGCAGACATCGCTGAAGGGGTTACATATCCTCTCTGGTCTGAGAAGTTCTTGAGGTCCCCCACAAGGAGCTGGAGAGGGAGATCTGTGTTTCCATCCTGGACCTGTTTCCTCCTCAACCCTCCTCGAGACAAACTGAATCTAAAAGTTTTGTGAACTTTCAGAATAAGCCTCACTGACAAGCAGATGTACTGTTTTCCCCTTTTTTCCCTCCAAATATACCTGCACATACAAAAAGACGTGGTTTAATCTTTTCAGCTTTCCCTTCTTCAGGGGTCTCCACAGCGAGTCATCCTCCTCCATCTCACTCTGTCTTCACTCCAATCACCTCCATGTCCTCTCTAACTGCATCCATATATCTTCCTCTTTGTATTTTTCCTGGCAGCTGCATTTCTAACATCCTTCTACCAATATACCCACTGTCCCTCCTCTGGACATGTCCAAACCATCTCAGTCTGACCTCTGTAACTTTATCTCCCAGTTGTTCAACCTGTGCTGATGATCTCATTCCTAATCATATCCATCCTCGTCACTCCTAAGGCGAACCTCAACATCTTCAACTTTGCCACTTCCAGATCTGTCTCCTGTCTTTTTGTCCACATCTTTGTGGCCAAACTATACAACATACTGTAGCTGGTCTCACCACTGTCTTGTAAAACTTTCCCTTTAGTCAAAAACCAAAAAAGTCCATGCTCAATAATCCACGTATACAATCCAACAATTTTCAGTCAGGTCCCTTTTTTCCCTTTAGTCACAAATCATTACTGAAAAGCAGTTTTACTTTATTGTACTTTATTGTTAATTGCTCATCAAACCCTTAATAATCCCTTAAATTTGTCCCCTCTCAGGCATAAACGACTGGAGCAGGCAGTGGAATGTCCCAGCTACATCCTGTCAGGTGGAGTCAGAAGCGGTTGTGAACTCTCCAGAAGTTCTCTGGTTGAGTTCTTTGATATCATCTTCTGTGTAAACGGCTCCTCCTCTGAAGGCTCCCTGAAGCCCATGTTTGCATCCCTGCAGATCCAGAACCACAGTACATGCATCTCTCCCCTCCCATCATCTTTCAGATCAATTCTCCTGTTTGTTTGTTTTTATTTTTTATCTTATCGCAACATTTTGTTCATGGTTTTCATGTTTTTGCAGTAAAGCCTGAAGCCACACAAAAGCTGCATCTGCAAACAAGTTCAGACGGGAAGCTGGAGCTGCTCTGGGAGAATCCTGTGAGGAAGCTTCCTGAACACTGCCTGGAGTGGGAAGTGAAACACATTCATGAGGGATCTGATGGAAAAATAAAATTGGTACACTTTATCTGATATGAGCTTCTTTTTTTCTGTTAAGACTCGCTCAGCTCGCATCCTCTTCTAAAAGTCCTACAATGCACATGATGAATAACTTCCTGCAGCTTTTGTTTTCTGCAGCCTGCAAAGTTTTTAATCAATGTGGGAAGGGTTTACCAAAAATAAATATACATATAAATATGAAAACAACAAGATATTTATTTGAACTAAAAGACCGTTTGAAACACTTTCATGCACAAGTTTGACCCATTTCACTCTCTCATAGCTGCCATTGTTTATTGATTTCTGTTGATTTGACATCCAAATAGCTATTTATTTTTTATTTTTATGCCCCTCAGAATCTGAATTTTGGTGTGATTTGTTACAACTTAGTTGCAACTTAAAACTCAACAGGAAGAAGAAACAAGTAGGGCCTAATATTCCTTGAAATAAAGCATATGGCCTGCTAGGGTTTTAAACTAAGATAATATTTTATTAGGAAATGGCAGTTATAGTTGTAGCTGTGATCTCATATGGTATTGTGAGACGTGGCACTCAGAGTATGTGTTGTCAAAGACTCTCAGCTACTACCATACCAAGATCTAGCTCAGTATTTGGACATCTGACTTTGTTACAGCCTTTTTGTCCCTCATCACGGAGCAAGGAGGGGAATTGGGAAAACCCTCCATCCGTCCGTGCATGTTGTCAGTCAGCATGGTAACTTGAAAATCAAGTGACTTCCATTTTGGTGTGTGGCTGCATAGGTGTAAGAAAGGTCCCTATCTAAAACTTGAATTGCTGCATCAAAATCCAAGATGGCTGTCACCCCTCTCCCTTCCTAAGGCCATGGACATGTGACAGAAGCTCAACCGAGCTGGATGATAACAAAATACCTCTTATCTGGACTATGGCAGAGGGGGCTCTGGACTATGCTACAACCTTCCCTTAAACTCAATGCCTTCACCGTCCTCCTATGCCTCATGCCTCATCTGGCACAGCAACTTACGTATAAGATGCAAAGGCGCCAAGGGCTGCGTCACTCACCTGGCGGACGTGCTGGGACCCCCACCCCTACCCGCTCCACACGCATATGTATTATGTCTATTTACATTGCTTTGCTGTGGTAGATTTTTTTGATGCCTCAGACCGTGCCCTGTCAAGGACACAGTGTGAGAGATCCTTTTTTTTCATACCACTCTCCTTATGTTTTCTTCCCCCTTTCTTTCTATCTAAAAATTATTCTAATAAAGAACAAGAAGCCACACTCCTGTAGCAGCAGCAACGTGCACTCCGCCCATCTTTCGGACGACTGTACGAACATAATCTTACTGTGTCTTGGTACAATGATGATTGAGCTTATTCTGATTCTGATACAGTTTATAAGCTTCGGGCACAGGAAAAGTACAATGTACAAGCACAAGAACATTGTGCAAGTTTTCTTACATTTTTGTAACGTCTTATTAATTGTGCCATTACTTTTGCAGAAAATCATTGAGACCAAAGAGACCAGCCTGACTCTGCCGCTCACCCCACACACGGAGAGAAACTGCTTCCAGATCCGCTCCAAACTCAGCTTCTACTGCGTCGCTAAAAGCCTTTGGAGCGACTGGAGCGAGGAGGCGTGCCACCCAGGTAAAAAGCCGTCACAGAACAGACAACTGTTCCGATCAGTGGAGTTTTATAATCTGTTACGACAGCACCTTGGACAACTCTTTGGGGTGTAATGAAAATATAATTTCGTCTGAGAGGACTGACCAATCTCATATTGTGGTAAATGTAAGACCCTCAACCACTCTGAGTTCAGTAGGCAGCACTGGATGAAATATTTCTGTAATTTGGTATCCGAAAAACAAAATTTAGGACAGAAACTGTATGAGTGCTGACTCAGAATTTAAACTTTTGTTTTCCTGTTTATAGCTTCTTCTGTTCATTTTTTTTAATTTTTTTTTTTTAGATTCCAACTACTTCAGCAAACTTTCAGCTACTTTAGCCACTTATATTTATCTTAATGTTCTACTCATACAGCTACAACTTTCGGTGGTAACCTTTTGACTTTTTGAAAATTTTTTAATATTTTTCACTGGCGTAACTAAAGAACTCTTTTTAAATTCTTACATTTGTGCTCGCAATATTTGCTTCATTTTGAACTTTTAGATGCCATTTGGCTTAGGTTCAGATAGCCTTCTAGTCTGCTGTTTTAGGCTTGTAGGTTTAAGCTACTATTTTGATCAATTTTGTTTTCAGTTATTATTTTGCTGGTTTTAGCTTTTAGCTACTGTTCTCCTAATTCTAGTTTTCAGTTCTTTCTTTTTTAGTAACTGTTTGGATAATCTTAGCTATTAGGTGCTATAGCTATTTTACTTATTTTGACTGTTGGTTATAATTTTGATGGTCTTAGCTTTTAGCTATTGTTTAGCTAATTTGGCTTTTAGTTAATTTGCTGCTGGTATTAGCCATTAGCAGCTAATTTTAGGTTTTAAGTTCATTTTTGGTGGTTTAAACTTTCAATTATTATTTTGCTGGTTTTACATTTTAGCTACTGTTTTCCCCATTTCCAATGCTGTCTGGCCACACTCTCCCCTGCCACAATTTTACAGTCTCCAATCTCCCTCAGGTTTCCTCTTCTACACAGAATGTAGTCAACCTGCGTACTCTTTCCTCCACTCTTATAGGTCCCTCTATGTTCCTCCCTTGTTTGAAAATAGGTATCGACTACAATCGTTTCCATTCTCTTTGCAAAATCCTCAACCATCTGTCCTTCCTGGTTTCTTTCCTTGACACCAAACCTAACCATCACTTCCTCATCCCCTCTGTTTCCTTCACTAGCATGTCCATTCAGGTCTGCTCCAATCACCACTCTCTCCTTCCTAAGAATATTCTCTATCACTTCATCCAGATCCTTCCAAAATGTATCTTTCACCTTCCCATCACATCCAACCTGTGGAGCCTAACCACTGACAACATTAAGCATCAGACCTTCTACTTCTACCTTCAGACACATCATCCTATCTGACACTCTTTTTGTCTCTACTACATTCTTTGCCAACTCCTCTTTCAGGACCACCCCTACTCCATTTCTCTTTCTATCCACACCATGGTGAAACAGTTTGAACCCTGCTCCGATGCTGTGAGTCTTGCTGCCTCTTGGTCTCTTGGACACATAAAACATCTACCTTCCTTCTCTGCATCATGTCTGCCAGCTTTGCCTATCATTGTCCCCACATTTAGAATTGCAACCCTCAGTCCTACATTCTTGATTTTCCTCTTCTCCCTCTGTCTCCTGATATGTTTCCCTCCTCGTGGTCTTTGACTAACAGTAGCACAATTTCCACTGGCACCCTGTTTGTCAACAGCACTGGTAGCGGTCACTGTTAACCCGGGTCTCGACTGATCTGGTATGGTATAGCTTAGATGAACTCACATAATAGTTTTGGCAAAAGTGTTGTACATCAGATGCCCTTCTTGACACAACCCTCACCCTTTACTCGGGCTTGGGTCCAGCAGAAGAAATACACTTGTGCTCCCTAGTGGCTGGTTTATATTTAGACTTCCTTAAGTTTCATTGCAGATTTCCATCAACTTTTTTAAAAGTTATTTTCTTTTCAACTAACAATATTGGGAGCTGGATGGAAATTTTTTAAGTGCCACTTTTGGCCCTCAGACCTCATGTTGCCCATATCTGATTTAAATGTTTATTTTGCTCATTGTTTAACCATTTTGGCATGGTTGCCTTAGAGGAGTTGACGGGGGAGAGGGCGGGCCCCAGAAAACATCTCATCACCAGCAAACTGGTTTTTTCCCCACTATGGGAGTTGGTGCTTGTGGGACTCCAAGTTGTTTGTGGCTCCTCAGACTGAAGAAGTCCTTTGGGTGAAGGACAAAATGTCTCAGCAAAAAAAGAAACCATCCAGATGACCTGACTGAACATTGTTGGATTTGTACCTTGATTATTGAGCATGGACTCTGGTGTTTGCTCAGTGTGTTATTTGATGATTTACTCTTACATGTTGTTGATGCCTTCATGTTTTGTTGACTTATTTTTTACTAATAGTTTGTTTAAAACTCATTTCATATATTTGTGTTTTATTTAGAACGAGCAGAATATGCATGCGTGCTGAAATTAGACCCTGTACCGGTCCACATCTACATATTTGCAGCCATCGTTGTCGTGCTGATAATGTGCTTGTGTGTATGGGCAGCAATGAAAATGTGAGTAAAAACACACAGTATGAATTCTGATGTCTGTAATAAAACTAAAGTGAAAATGAACTCCTTTTCTCTCTGAAACAGGAAGAAAACAAAACCAGAGAAGAAACTGGACTCTCTGCTCATCTCCCTGTTCGCCAAAACTTCAACTCTCGCAGCTGAAAAAGTCTTCAAAGGGAAGAAAGTGAGTCCTGACGCCATGATCTGAGCTCATTTAAGTAGAGTTGTATTCTTTATTTATTCTTTGCACTATTTTTATGGATCTTCTCTGAGATGGTACCCAACTGCCTTTGATTTCACATTTAGTTAAAGGTTTTTATTTTTAATTACATTCGGATGCAGTTTAAGTTTGTGTAGAACTGGTTTGAATTCACGTGGATCTAAAGGAGAGAAATCCAGTGCAGTTAAATCAACTTTTTATCAATTGCTTACTTTATGCCTCAAGTCTTGCAGCCTGATTCGACTCAGCTGAGATTGTGTTTGGATTTATGTTGTTGATGTTTTAGTTTGTGCCAGATCTCCTGCCAAAATATTTAGTTCATTAGTATTATTATAATCATTCATAAACATGTACACATATTGTTTATTTAATCCTGTTGGTTGATTGTTGATGCCAGTCTTGCCAGTTAAGAAACCGTTGAAAATTTTCATGCAATAATAATAAAAATTTATACACATTTAAAAATGACCAGTGTAAATACATCCAATGAAGTTTTCACTCAACTACGTGAAATAGTTGTGGGTTGCTGTAGATCGGTGGTCAGTTCTGTGGTCTTGTAATCCTGAAGTTGCAGGTTTGAACCCAGGTTGCATCAGGAAGGACATCTGGCATAAAACAAATGGACAAATCTTTTATGGGAGCTCGCTCGCTGTGGAGACCTCTGAAGAAAGGAGCAGCCAAAAGAAACTTATATTTTTATGTAGCTTTCCGGTCAGAACCAGATGTCCAAAGTGTGTTGGTTGTCATTTTTCCTGTTGTTTGTGTTTAAAACTCTTTGAGACGTTTTTAGAGATGCATTTTGTGCAACAATTAACAAAACTCTTCTACTTCTTCAAATAGTAGTCTAAAGCTTTATTTCCTTTAATTTTTTCATGAAGATCTTTACCATCGTATTTTGTTTATGACTCTTTTTTATCCATTAAAACAAAATACCAAAAAAAGGAAAGACATGCAGTTTATGCATGAAACTCCTCAGTAGTAATTGTAGTTCTAGTGTATATTTATGAAGTTTAAAAGCAAAAGAACAAAAATAAAGTATTTACATGATAAATTTACAATAAATGAAAAAAGTAACTTTTGGTAAGTCACCAGCTTTAGAGGCAGGGCAGCCAACTCGGAACCTGAAAGTCCCAGGTTCGATCCCCAGTCATTGCACATCTCATGGTGTCTCTGAGCAGGACATCCTATCCCCAAAATGCTCCCCGGGCACTTTCAATAGCTGCCCACTGCTCCACCTGGTGGTGGATGGGTTAAATGCAGAGCCAATTTCACCATTGTATGGGAATATACACAGATGACAACACATTTTTCTGCTTTTTATGTCGTGATTTTAGCCTGTAATTTACTGCAGTTGTTGGAGTTTTAAAGCAGACTGATATATCCCTCTTAGCATCGCTGTCCTGTCTGATTAAATCTTTTTGCTTTTAAGTTTCTTCAGGAAATTGTCTCTCTTGTAATTGAGTCCCCAAGGCTCAATGGGACTGGCACTTGTGCCAAAGAAAGACTCTTTTGAGCTGACTTCAGTAAATATTCAAAGGTAACATTGAAAACAGCAATGCAGATGAATACTGAGCGCTGAATGCCTGCTGAAATTTCCAAAAGATGCTGAAATGCTGCTGAAGTTGAAAAATGCACAACAGAGGGCTGAAAATATCACATGTGTGCATATGTGAACCAAAGATGGAGATGCAGGTAAAAGGAAAACTGATTTATAATAACAAATCAAAATGCTGAAACGGCAGCTGAAGAACTTACTATCTGAAAAATGTTGGAAAACATGAAGGCACAAACAAGACTTGCTGAAGAAAGCATAATACACGGACGTTGAACTAACAGAACAACGAAGAACACAGAGGAACATTAATGAGGGAGCGTGGCAAACACCCGAGGATCAGGTGAGAGTGGGCGGGGCAGGAAACTGACTGAGGACAGGTAAAACACAAGTAGCAGAACTCAAACACAAAGATCCCAAAACACAGAAAAGTACAACTGAAACTACAAAGAGGAAAAGATAATCTAAAAATAAACTTAAGCAAGGGTGTCAGAAACATCCGTAATGTGTGTGTGTGTGTGGGGGGGGGGACTTGTCCCCTTCACATATAATGGTTGCAACGCCTGTGAACTCAAGGAACTAGTCAATAAGTATCAGCAAAACACAGATCCTGACAAAAAGAAGCAAAACATACTCTTAAAGTAACAATAGATAAGAATTACAAGGAGTAGCTAAAATGAGCAAAACAGTAGCTAAAAGGAACAGATGTGTAGTTAAAATGATCAAAAAGGTAGCCAAAACATAAAAATGATGAATCCAAGATGGCCTCCACAGCCAACCAAACATAGAAAAAACAAACTGACTAACTTGCTTAATTTAACAGACATGGAGCCAAAATTTGATGCAGAAGTAACAAAAAGTCCTTCAGAACACAAAGAGCTGACAGATACCTTGATTTTATTTGAGACTGAACGCAGTGACATTCTCCAGATTTAACCAAAACATCTAAAATCCATCATTTCTCAACAGAAGATGTTAGTGAATGAGTTCAGACGTCATGTGACCTCTTGTGATTCGCTGAAAGTACCCAGAAGACATTTCCAAGGAGGTGAGACTCACCTGGGAAGTACCTGCTCCCCCTCCACTCAGCCCTGCAGGTCACAGTTTGTTTATGTCCATAATCTTTTGTGGAATTACAAGAAAATAATTTAGAGTAATAGATGGTCAGGTGCTTCTAATTTAGAATAATAAGTGGAGTGGAGGTGGACTTTTTAGAGGCAGACTATCAGGTCTTTGAGAGCCAGAATTGTTGCTGATTGGCAGGCGTTCAAATACTTTTTTGCAGCAGTAACACACAAAAAAATTATAAAAAAATCATACATTGTGATTTCCGGATTTTTTTTTTTTTAAGATTATGTCTCTCACAGTGGACATGCACC